TATCTATCTATCTATCTATCTATCTATCTATCTATCTATCTATCTATCTATCCATCCATCCATCCATCCATCCATCATATCTCTCTCTCCCTCTCTCTCCCTCTCTCTCTCTCTCTCTCTCTCTCTCTCTCTCTCCTGGGAGCTGAAGCCTTTTCCAGACCACCTTCATGCCAGGCCAATGGAACGAAGACACGAAATCCGTGGCCTGGGGCATCTCGGCTGTTTCTTGCCACGAAGCCACAGGCCGCCTCTCCCATTTGCTCCGCAGGCAACAAAGGGGCCGTCGGGGTCTCCTTCATGTTCAACGGCACCTCCTTCGGCTTCGTCAATTGCCACCTCACCTCCGGTAACGAGAAGACGGCCAGGTGAGCCCCCTCCCCACCCCAATCACAGTGCGGGGGGGCTGAGCCTGGGGGGGTCTCCCCGAGGGGGAGTCGAAGCCGCTTCCAATTCCCATGACAGGCGGAAGCCTCCCTGCGCTGAGCAGGCCCTTGCACCAAACCCCAAAGGTGTAGATTCACACGACACAGTTAGCAGGAGGACAGGTAATCCTCGACTTAGGACCACAACTGAACCCCAGATATCTGTTGCTAAGTGAGACGGCCATTAAGTGAGTTTTGCCCCATTTTACAACCTTTCTCGCCACAGTCATTGTCCTTCTGACAAGCAGTGGGAAAGCCAGATCCACTTAAATAACAAGTTGCCGACTAAACACCTACAGTGATTCACTTAGCAACGGTGGCAAGAAAGGTCGTAGAACGGGGTGAAATTCGCCTGACAAGCATTTCGCTTAGCAGTGGAAATTTTGGACTCCCTTCCGGTCCTAAGTCGAGGACAGATAACAGATAATCACAGAGTTGGAAGGGACCTTGTAGGTCATCTAGTCCAACCCCCCGCTAGAGCCTGTGAAGCCCTGCCTCCAGCCTCCCCTTTTGCCTTCCAGGAGGAACCAGAATTACCTGGACATCCTGCGCCTTTTGGCCCTGGGTGACAAGCAGCTGAGCTCCTTCGACATCTCCCTCCGCTTCACCCACCTCTTCTGGTTTGGGGACCTCAATTACCGTCTGGACATGGACATCCAGGTGAGGACCACAGTGGGTGGTGGGCTGTGTTGAGGAGGTGATGCTGCCCCTGAGCATGGGCAGAGGACCGCCGCTCCCTTGTCACAGAGGCCGTGGGAATCCAGGCTGGGTCTGCCTGAAATGGGGAGAGTTTGGCTGACCAGGAGAACTTTTGACCCACCGTGTCAAAATATATATATAGTCGCCAGCTGTCACACACCCCGACCCCAAAACCAAACAAGTTGACACACGCCAAGAACACAGAGCCAGACCCCAAACTCAAAGCCAGACTAAAACCCAGAATGCTACATCGCGGCCACCCGCTCAGGAGATCACATCAGAAAACTCAGGAAATTACACTCCAAGAACTCAAGAAGTTGTAACACAGCAAATGACCCAGGATATCACAGCACGAGACCAAGGACACCGCAGCAATAAGTCTCACAAGGTCATTGCACAACCCATTACCCAGGCCGTTAAAACACGAGAGGCTAATGGAAAAAAAGATCACTACAAAACAAACAACCCAGGAGATTACAGCACAAGATCCAGGATATCTCCACAACGAAACTCACAAGGCCATCACACAGCCCATTACACCAACATCAACTCCATCAACCAATCAAGAGGCAGCAGCGCAGCCAACCAGCCCAGCACATCAGCCCCCGCCCCCTCCAGTATTTATAGAGAGACGGCAGCTCCGATCACACACTGCTTGCACAGGCACGAAGCGGAAAGCACCAGCCTGAGGATGGCGAGTGGGACCTCGCCAAAACGTCGCCAAGATATGCTTAATCTTACACGGGAAAAGACCCGAACACACCTAGACCTACTGACGTGGGAAAATACCCGAACAAAGCTGAATACCATACACACACACACACACACACACACACACATACACACATACATACATACACATATATACATACACACACATATATATATACACACATACATACATACACATATATACATACACACACACACACACACACACATATATATATATATACACACATACATACATACACATATATACATACACACACACACATATATGCTCCTTTGGTCTTTTTAGTTGCCAGCACAAAGGAAGGTTGGGGGGGAAAGCAGTGCATTCCTTAAATGCTTCAGGTAATTGCTAGGTAGCTGAAGCTGTTGGCGCGCAAGATTATTACTGGAGAGCCTGATTGATGGCTCTTGGCTATGGATGTGTCCCATTGGAGAATATACATCCAGGGGGTGGGGGGAAGACCAGGGTCAAGGGGGAAATGAATGGTGGTCTTAGCATCAGCTGCACCCAGGTAACACCAACATGGCCACTCCGAATAAATCAGTGTTTTTACTCTGAGCGATGCGGCTAGAGACTTAGGATTGGAATGGGGGGTGGATTTGTTGGAGCCCCGACACATGGATGGAAAGGGACCCCTTTCCCTTTTTTCTCCCCTCTAGGAAATCCTCAACTACATCAACCGCAAGGAGTTTGAGCCCCTCCTCAAAGTGGACCAGCTCAACCTGGAGAAGGAGAAACACAAGATCTTCCTGCGATTCAGTGAGCCGCCAGTCCCACCTCAGGGGCCCCTCCTTGCTCTCCACAGAGGAGAACCTTTGTAGCTCAGGGTTGAACTACGGGGGTCCTTTGGGGGTCTCAGAGCTGGGTGATCTCCCTGCAAGACGTTTCGTGACCCAAGTAGGGAACGTCATCAGCTAGGAGGGAGGGAAGTTTGCAGGGAGGAGGAGGAGGAGGACTGTGGGGTCCTTGGTGCTCTCTGAGCTTGGCTGTTTTCTTGTGGACGTTTCATAACCCAACTAGGGAACATCATCAGTGGAAGAAGGAAGTGGGATTTCCTCAGTCCTGCTATGGGGGATCCTAGGACCTCCAATTTTGTGGGGAAGGTCCATGTTTGGGAGTCAAAATGGTTGCAAACAGCAGCTCTTCTTGCACCCAGGTGTGAAACCGAAGTGATTCCCTCCCCTGAAAAGGAACACGAGTGTCTTTCTAGCAAAATCCTGCTCCTCCACCCAGGGGTAGGATTCTACCAGTTCACACCTATTTGCTAGAACCAGTTGTTAACATTCTAAGCAGTTTGGAGAACCGGTTGTTAGAGGAAATTACTGGGCTAATCCTGTAAGGAAGGCAGGAAGGAAACATTCTGGTGTTGCTTACAGAAACTGCCTCTCCCACCACCTAAGCCACGCCCACAGAACCGGTTGTTAAAAAATTGAACCCACCCCTGCCTCCACCCCTTTAGCCTTCCAGCAAGAGACAGCTCCCCTCGCTCGAAGCCCCTTTCTAATAAAACCAGGTGGGCTTTGGGACGGGGGGCACGACCTTTGATCTCTGGATTGCCTGCTCTTCCCCTTCCAGGTGAGGAGGAAGTCACCTTCCCTCCTACCTACCGCTACGAGAGGGGCTCCCGCGACACCTACGTGTGGCATAAACAGAAGCCCACAGGGGTAAGTGCCTGGGGGGGTGTCACAGCGGAGCTGGTTTTGGGGGGCTCAGGAGGGGGAGGAGCTGTGGGGGTACACTCTGCTTGCAGGTAGCCCAGCTGGACTGGCGATCCAAGAGTCCAGCAGGGTTGCAGCATCCAGACACGCCATGGGCGTTTTCTGGGGTCTGAGAGTTCCTTCGACCACTTCAAGCGGCGTGAGGGGGGTCCTGAGCCTTCAGCCCAGCCTTTCTCAGTCTTTGCAGCTTTAAGAGGCGCGGACTCCCAAGAATCCTGGGAGTTGAAGTCCACACGTTTTAAAGTTGAATCCTCAGAATTGAAATTCACACGTCTTAAAGACGAATTCTGGGAACTGGAATCTGTGCATCTTAAAAATGAATTGTGGAATTTGAAGTCCCCCATATTAAATATGAATTCTGGGAATTGAAATCCCCACATCTTAAAAATGAATTTGGGAATTGAAATCTGTGCATCTTAAAAACGAATTGTGGAATTTGAAGTCC